GCAGATGATGGCCCAAGTACTTGGGTCTCTGTCAGCCACGTGGGAGACCCACGTGGAGCTCCTGGCTTTGACCTGGCCCAAACCTGGCTGTTGTGGCCATCTGGGCAATGAACCGGCAGATGGAAGATTGATCTCTCTTTCTCTCTCTCTCTCTGTCACTCTGCCTTTCAGGTAACCAAATAAATACATATCTCTTTTAAAAAGAGAGACAGGAATAAGAGCATGTATGAGGAAACAAGAATGCAATTATGAGCTTGCACTGGGGCCACGTGAGGTTACTAGAAAATCGGCAGTGGAGAAATTTTTATTGATTGATTAAGTTTCACAGTGCAGAAGCTGTGGCTTAATGAATGAACTGCAGTCTCTGTCTGGAAACTCAGTTTCAAGCCCGGGAGTAACACAGGCTTCTCATACTACAACATAAATTACAACAAATCTCTCAGAGACTCGGTTCTTCCATTGGAATGATGGAGAAAATAATGCCCACCCTATCATATTGTGAGGATGAACTGAAATAACATTTGAACACAAAACATGGCTTAACGTGGGCCCTGTTGACTTATGGATACGTTGCCCAACGTGGATCTGAGGGCATTAACACATTGCTGTATCTGCTGTCTCAAAGCCCTGCTCTGTCACCTGTGCCCCCTTCCTTGCTCCTGGTCTCTGGACCTTTCTGTAGAGTTCTTAGAAAGCATGGAACCAGGGAAACAGTGTGGGACTTAGCCAGAACACGCCACTGGCCACCTGTGGCCCCTAGACAAGCTTTTTGACCTCAGAACCTCACTGCACACACACAGCAGCCAGGGCTCCTGGTGGCAAGAACTGCACCAGCTCAGGTTCCGTCCACTAGGACTGGAATTCGCTTTATCGCTGCCTCCCAGCGCTGACAGGCGCAGATGAGCCAGACTTGAGCCTTCTGCTGGAAACCAAGGGCTGGCGGAGGAACAGCACCAACTGTCTTTAGCAGGACAGTCTGGGGATGCTGGGCCCGGCCACGAAGTGCTGCCAGCAGGCATTTCACCATTGCTGCTGCTCCAAGGGATGTCAGCGCGTCCCTCTGCCTTTGTGCCCCATGCTGCAGGCAGCGGCACCCACTTGGGTAGTCCTAGACCACGCCCTGGGCCCCATCTATCAAGGAAAGGTCCCATGGTGTGCACTGTGAGATACATAGCCCTGCTTCTCGCTGAAGCTATCCACGCAGGGCCCCATCCCAAACAGGAAGCAGATCAGACGCTGGCCCACCAACCCTCCCATCCCATCAGTGGAAAGAGGCATTTATCATGGGGTAATAAACAGCCTTGAATGACATATTTGTTCAAAAGTACTTGGCACACAACAAGCATTCTGTCATTTTACTTCTCTTTAATAAAACAAAAGGCTGCGGATGGTGTACTTATCTGAGGATTTGATCAATACGCTGCGAGGTATGGAGGTTCTGAGTCTGTGACCTGGGAAAGTGGCTGGGAAAGATGATATCCAAAGGACGAAGTTCAAGGTCAAAAAAAAGGCAGTGGGAAGGAGAGAAGAGGAAATAACAGATTTGGGTCCCATTTTTCTTTGGTTTTAGTCTTCGACTGGCAACACAACTCCATCTCTGTCTCATTCATCTTTAAAATGAGTCTCAAAATGATCTGAAGTCATTATTTTAAAACAAGTTTTAGAAGGTTAATGTTTGCTTTCAACAAAGATTATATTTCCAGGAGTGGATTGTGTTCGCCGTTATGAAATATTATCAGTGGGCTTTGGTCCCTTTCTGAATAAGATTGATCCACCACCTGCTTGCATTTGCCCGACAATAACATTTACCTAAATGTAGATAATTACTTTAGCAAAAACAAAATTTTCTTTCTGACTCAATTCAAACAGGAATTACTTCAGATTTTACAATTTTAGATTATCCTTGCCATGGCTCTACTTCATCAAGGTGAATTGACTTCAACTGAAAGTTTACTCTATGTTCGGATCCTATTTTTTAAAAAAGGAATTTAATCTAAAATTCAATTACAGAAGATCTGTGCCAAAGTGAAAAGTCAACTTCCTGAGTACTCCTGGCTGCAGGTTCTACCAGGGATCCACAGGATGCCTCAAAAGAAATGGACATGTTGTCTATTTCTGGACAATTCACAGACTTTTCAGTTTAGAATAAAAGAATTTCCCAACTGGAAGGTATCTCAGAGTCTCCCAACAGAGGTGTTCAAAGGGTGCTTGCTCGTCACTCAAGCTCTGGGTGTCTGCAGATTTGCCCTGGAGCTGCAGGGAAGTGGGGGACCTCGTGGGTGACAGGGCAGGTCGTGCCCAGCAAACCTGGTTCTTGTCCCGTTCATTCAGGTCAGAAAGGGGGCCTGACTCCCCCATCTCCCTGGTAGCTTGTGTCCAAACCAGCAGGAATTCACCTAAGTTCTAGGTTCCAAGTACCTCGTGACTCCATCCACTTCTCTCCATCTCTCCTGCTTCTTCAAGTCCGAGCCACCATCCTCATCCATCTCTCTCACAGAAACAGGGTCCTAATTAGTTTTCCTAATCTTTTGCTTGTCTCCGAATCCATGCTTCCCTCAGTACCGAGGGCGACAGAATTAAAACTTAAGTCAGATCCCGTGGCAGTCCTGCTGGAAAGTCTGGAAGCCTCCCCATAGTACCGAGAGCAAAACCCAAACTTTGTGTCACCAGCAGCCAAGGCCTCATCTTCAGTGCCAGCTTTGGCCACCCCAGCCATCCATCAGTTCCTAGCTCTTTCCCATCACAGGCCTTTGCTATGCCCTCTGCCTGGAACACTTTCCCTCTGCTCTTCATTTGGCTGGTTTTGTCTCTCCTTTCAGCCTGCTCTGGCCACCCACCCTATCCAAAGTAAGGGTCTTTCATCATTTCCTGTCTTGATTTCTTCCAACACCAGCGAAGATTTAACAGTGTTTTGTGCATCTCCTCGCTCTCTACGAGTCTCTGCTACTAGACATTCCTTTACTAGAACATCTGTCTGCTTTGCTGTCCATTGTGTCCCAGCGGCCAGTGCAGTGCTAACACCTGGACGGAAGGGACTGGGGCACACACTGAATGAGTGAACGAATGGCGTTGTAACAGGAAGCCCCAGCCTCACCTGGAATGACACAGAAGACCTGAGCAAAGGTCAGAAGCATGAATGGAAGGTCGGTAGGCACAGGGGATGGAGAAGGGAGATGCGGGGCGGGGGAGAAAATCGGACCAGACCAAGCTCCTAAGGCCCAAAAGGGCGTGGCGTTTCTAACAAGCCTCAGCAGAGCTAGTGTGGCCGGAGCTCAGGGAGCAAGCGCAGAGCCTACAGGGCTGGGTCAGGACGGGGAGGCAGAGCCAATCAACACCTCTCCCAGGGATCCGGCCCACCCGACGGTGACCGGGGCAGAGTGCTCTTACGGGACAAGGGGGAGGTGAATCCTGGGGGCTCACAGCTGAGGACCCTACTCACGGTTCTCCTCCCCCTCTGGGGCTGCTCCTTCTCGGTCTCCTCCACGGCTTCCTTTTTTAGCCATCTGTAGGTGTCGCCTTCCGAGCACCCATTCAGGTCGTTCCCCTCCACGCCAGCCTTGCTTGCCTTGAGATCTCTCGTTGACCCTCACGGCCATCTGTCGGCTGCAGAACTGTCCCCATCTGTTTTGAGCCAGGCCTTCCTCTTGAGCCCAAGGCTTTCATAGCCAACTACCAACCTGGTCTCTTCAGCCGGAAGTCATGTTGACACCTGAGAGTCAGCAGACCCAGAGCCTGCTCTCCTGTTGCACCCTGTTCCCACCCAGCAGCCTGGGGGATGGGCGAAGTGTCCTTGACCCCATCAAACCACAGCCACATCATCTCCACGTGGACAATTCACACTGCAGGTGTCTCCTAGCTCTGCTTCCCGTCTCCACAGGTACTTCTGGATCACAAGAGCCCTCTTCCCTACCTCCCTGCCTCCCAGGCCATTCTCTGCTTTGCAGTCAGAGGGAGCTTTCTAGAACGCCACCCTGCTCAAGTCCCATCTTTGCACACAGCCCTTCTGATGGCTCTCGCCGCCCTCAGGAAAATGAAATCTAGATTCCTTCATTGGGGTGAAAGGCTCCGGGCTTTTGTCTCTGGGCTCCTTGCCGCCATTCTGTGATGGCTGATTGCAGGTGCAGACTTGGCTGGAGCAAGGAGTACCTAGGGAACGGGAAAGCAGTATCTCTGGGTGTGGCTGTGAGGGGTTTTCCAATGGATGTTGAGTTATGAGTTGGTGGAGTGAGTGGGGAAGATCCATGCTCAGCTTGGGCGGCCACCCCCTAACGACCCGCAGGCCAAGGCCTCACAAAACACACAGAGAAAAGGCGACCTCTTCTCCCTCCGCCCTGGGGCTGGGATGGTCTTCTCCTGCCCTGGGCATCAGGCCTTGGGGCTCGACAGGCTTTGGACTCCAGCATGGAGACAAGTGCCCCACACCACCCCAGGGTGCCCCGAGCTCTCAGCCCTCAGCCGGGACTGAGGGCGTCACTCTTGGCTTCCCTGCTTCTGAGGCTCTCAGACGTGGACTGGGCCCCGCCTCGGGCGTCCCAGGGCCTCCAGCTCACTGCTGACTCTTCATGGGACTTCCCAGCCTCCGGGATGGCACGAGACATTTCCCCTAGCAAGTCTCCTCTCATTTATATCTCCTGGCTCTGTCTGTGTGGAAAGCCCCGCCTAACACACCTTCTGGCCAACTGAGCCACAGGGTTTCAAGCCACACACACAACTCCAAGGCCTGCCTTTTGCACATGCTGGTCCCTCTTCCCAGAACCATCTTCTTTCCACCTTCTCTGGCCCAAACCCCAGCCTGCTGCTCGCTAACTCCCTGTGGAATCTCCAGGCTCCTGTTTATCCGTCGAGCCTTCAGGAAGCCATACAAATGTCCCCTGGCCCTGAGCTAGGCCTCCCCCATTCTCCTTCCCCTGCTCCTCGGTCACCCTTCCTCCACGTCCTCACTAAACTCTTCCTCCGTGGGGACAGGGATTCTTCAAATTAATTAATCATTTTAAAAAATATTTATTTATTTATTTATTTATTTGAAAGGCAGAATTACAGAGGCAGAGGCAGATGGAGAGAAAGAGAGGTCTCCCATTTGCTGGTTCATTCCCCAAATGGCCACAATGGCTGGAGCTGAGCCTATCTGAAGCCAGGAGCCAGGAGCTTCTTCCAGGTCGCCCATGCAGGTACAGGGACCCAAAGCCTCTTCCACTGCTTTCCCAGGCCATAGCAGAGAGCTGGATCAGAAGTGGAGCAGCCAGGACTCGAACCGGCACCCATATGGGATGCCAGCACTGAAGGCAGAGGCTTCACCAGCTTCGACACGGCACCAGCTAAAAAATTAATTCATCATTTATTTTCTGTGTATTTGAAAGGCAGAGGGACACAGAGAGAGAAACACACACACACACACGCACACACACACACTGATATCTTCCATCCACTGGTTCACTTCCCAAATATCCACAACAGCTGATGCTGGGCCAAAGCTAAAGCCAGGAGCCTAGAATTCAATCCAGGTCTCCATGTGTAGCAGGGACCCAAGCACTGGTGCCATCACCTGCTGCCTCCCAGGGTGGCAGTAGCAGGGAGCAGATCAGGAGCCAAGCCAGGACTTGAACCTAGGCACTCCAACAGGATGCCAGCATCCCAAGCCACGTCTTAATCACTACCCCAGGTAGGTGGGTGGGGGGTGTCTCTCCCTTTTTCTCGGTGGTATTCCCAGTACCACGCAGCACTGAAAAAGTGAAATAAACATTCCTTGCAAGAAATTGGCTCCTAAGGGTTCAGGCACAGAAGCCTCCGGCCACTTCCTCTTCCTGCACCCATCATTAGGTCGTGGGCTGGCAGCAGCCGTGAGATCCCGAAACACTCACCCAAGATTCCTTGAGCCGACCCTCTGCCGGGAGCCCAATCTTCCCTTAAAAGGCCACCTTATCAGAAAGTGCCTGGGATAGGCTTTTAGGAGCCCTATTTTTATCTGCGTTGGAAAGCTTCAAAGTTAATTTCCAAGCCAAAGACATTAAACTCAGGAACGTGGATGAGCAAGGAAACATCTCGTGAGAACTTTGAGTCACAGTTTTGTTTTCCGTGGCCAGGGCCAGGGTTCCTCCCCTCGCCTGGCTGACTCTACAAAGCCTTTGATCCCACCTTGTTAAAGCCAGATCCTGCCAGTCTTAATGGCCACCGCAGTGGTGTCAGCGTCCCCGAGACTCTCTCAACTCAGCTGGGGCCCTCGGAGGAGAACACAGAACCATTGCCAAGCAGCTCCCAGGTTATTCAAACAGGGCTCCCGCTCTCAGCCCCAGAGTGGAGACGCATCATGGCCGGGGGAGGGCGGGGGCTCCCAGCGTGCCTGGCCAGAAGTAATTGGACGGAAGCGGCAGGAACGAGGAGAGACACCCAGCAGGGCTGGCGAGCACGTTGGGCGCCTGTGCCAGGCAAAGGATTTGCTCACTGTCAGAACTGCAGAAGAGGGAGAGGGTGAGAGTGTGACTGAGAGCGACAGCGAGCGAACGAGAGAGAGAGAGAGAGAGAGAGAGGGAGAAGGGAGGAGTGTGGAGAGAGGACCAGAGGAAGAGAGTGTAAAGTCAGGGAAACAGGAAGCCCTAGGGATGGAAGGATCAGAGGCAGTTGGTGGAGACAGGAAAGGAGGGAGAGGGACGTGTGCCCACTGCCGTCTGCTGGGGAGAGAGGGGTTTCAGAGCCGGCCAGTGGCCCCAGAGAGCGTCCGGCGCACCTGAGCCGTGCAGTCCAGAAATGAGAGCTGGGAAAGAGATCTGAGCTGATCTTGCTCCCGATTCAAGATGCCTACTGGCAGCGCTGTCAGAGGGCGCTCAGGCCACTGTGGCTCCTCCCTCCTTTCCCCTTAGCAAAGTCCTAAGCATCCTGGCCCTCCCTCCCGTCTCTACTGCCTGGGCACGCACACACAGAGCCAGGGGCCCGGCCTGCGTGCCCCTCTGCCTGGGTCGCACGCTCCAGGGCAGGGAGCGGACCTAGAAGCTGAGTGTGGGCTGAGTCAGCACTGCCTCTGGGGGAGATGGCTTCCTGGAAGGCCTGGCTTCGGGGCTTCCGGCTGGCCGTGCTCTGCTGGGGGAGCTTGAGGCACCCCCAGGCTGGGGTGGTCGGACTCTCAGGGGACCTCTTTTTTCTTTCTTTATTTTTTGTAAGATGAACATATTTATTTAAGAGGCAGTGTTAGAGGAAAGAGAGACAGAGAGAGAGGGAGAGGGATATTCCATCCTCTGGTTCACTTTCCAAATGGCTGCAATGACTGGGGCTGGGCCAGGCCAAAGCCAGGAGCCAGGAGCTTCCTTTGGATCTCCCACATGGGTGCAGGGTCCCAAGGACTTGGGCCATCCTCCACTGCTTTCCTAGGTGCACCAGCAGGGAGCTGGATTGGAAGTGGAGCAGCTAGGACTCCACTGGGCCCATATGGGATGCTGGTGTTGCAGGCCGAGGCTTTAACCGGCTGCACCACAGTGCCGGCCCCTCAAGGTACCTCTCATTAGGGACAATCGTGGGAGAGACATTGCCATAACCCAGCCTGAAGAGTGACTCCAAGCTACTTGGGCTGCCCATTCAAAAAAATCGCATTTTCTGGAGTAACGGTAGTCAGCAGCAATCTACAAGACATCTCAAAAGAACCAGTAAGAGGCCGGCACCGTGGCTCACTAGGCTAATCCTCTGCCTTGTGGCGCCGGCACACCGGGTTCTAGTCCCGGTCGGGGCGCCAGATTCTGTCCCGGTTGCCCCTCTTCCAGGCCAGCTCTCTGCTGTGGCCAGGGAGTGCAGTGGAGGATGGCCCAGGTGCTTGGGCCCTGCACCCCATGGGAGACCAGGAGAAGTACCTGGCTCCTGCCATCGGATCAGCGTGGTGCGCCGGCCGCAGCGGCCATTGGAGGGTGAACCAACAGCAAAGGAAGACCTTTCTCTCTGCCTCTCTCTCTCACTGTCCACTCTGCCTGTCAAAAAAAAAAAAAAAAAAAGAACCAGTAAGAGTCGGGAGGGTCCTAGCACAGGTGTGATTCGTGTCTGAGGAGGTGGAAGCACTAATTACCCCGATTTGATCCTCACAATTATGTCCACCCATTGAGTTATCACACTGAAGTCCACAAACACACACAAATGTTATCTGTCCATAACAAAGAAAGAAAATTGCACTCCCAAAGGTTTACAAGATGTCTCGGGGCCAACACGGCAGCTCTGACTCCTGAAGGATCTAGCTGCTTCCCAGCTAAAATCCATTTTCTTGGCCTGAGAAGTCCATTTTCTAAAGATAGGTCCCTATTCGCTGGGCGGCCACGTGGGCTGGAGGCAGCGGTGGCTGCAGATAAAAGGCCAGCAGTACACAATTAGCAGGAGCGGAGCACCTGCCCGGCGTCCGGGGGGCTGCGGTGGGAGTGCGAGTCGCCCCCACGCTTCTCTTGAGCGCGGCCGTTTTGAGCTCTTGTAAGTCTCCCCTCGGCCGCCCAGGGTGCAGGGTCGTTCTGATGGTCTTGTGTCGGACAAGCAAGACGAGAAAGCCTCTCACTCTGCCACACGCTGCTGCTTGCTCTGCAGTGGGCACGCGGATGAGCAGGCAGTGGGTGGCAGCAGCTGTCAGACCCCTCTCCCCAAGGATGCATCCGTCGGTGCCAGCAGCCTCTCTGAGCTCTTTCTGATCTCCATGCCAGCAGCTACGGGTCCTGGCAGGAAGCCAGGAAGTCCACCCTGAGCCCTGAATTCTTCTCCTCCCCCTCATCCTCCATGAATGGGGACAGATAGGTTGGGAGGCCACCCAGAAAGGAGCTGATGGTTCTCAGACACATTTTCCAGCTGTCACACCTGCTAACACAGGAACCCGCACTCGGGTGCACACACACACACACACACTCACTCAGCAATAAATTCGGTCTCAGGCGTTCTTGTTCCATCTGTCCCCTGCCCGGAGCAGGAGCAAGAATTCCCATCAGCAAACCGTTGTTGCCAGTGTTCTGCCTCCTCCCTCCTTCCCTCCCTTCTGCAAACATTTGTTGAACACCTACCATGTGCCAGGCACAGTGTCAGGGGCGAAAGACACCGGGATAGTCTTGGGGTTAATAAGACATCTAAACACTCATCAGATGCCTTCAAGCAATGATCAAGTGCTTCAATAGTGATGAGCCGGTGGCCACAGGCCGAATCTGACCTGCAGGCATGTTTGAGTTAAAATGGCCAAGAATTTGGGGCCAGCATTGTGGCACAGTAGGTTAGACCACTATCTACGACTCTGGCATCCCATACGGGCACCAGTTTGAGTCCTGGTTGCTCCAGTTCCAATCCAGCTCCCTGCTAGTGTGCCTGGGAAGCCAGCAGAGGGTGGCCCAAGTGCTTAGACCTATGTGGGAGACCCAGATGGAATTCCGAGCTCCTGGCTTCAGCCTGGCCTAGCCTCGATCATTGTAGCCATACGGGGGGTAAGCCAATGGATGGAAGATCTCTCTCTCTCTCCCCCTCTCTCTCTAACTCTGCCTTTCAAATAAAATAAATCTTTTTTTAAAAAAAAGTTTCTCACCAGCCTCCTGAGTCTCTCTTTAAAAAAATACATAAATAAAATGGCCAAGAATTCAAAACATTGGTGAGCTCACACATAAATCAGGATTTTCATCTTCTCATGAAATCACAAATTAGATAGCCATCAGGAGGAAGGGGAAAGCTGCTGGGCCCTTTGTTTATTTTTTAAAAGATTTTATTTATTTGAAAGGCAGAGTTAGAGAGAGAGAGAGAGAGGGAGAGAGAGAGAGAGAGAGAGAGAGAGACAGAGAGGGAGAGAGAGAGAGAGACAGAGAGAGATCCTCCATCTGCTGGTTCACTCCCCAAAAGGCCTCAATAGCCATGGCTGGACCAGGCCAAAGTCAGCAGCCAGGATCTCCATCCAGGTCTCCCATGAGTGGCAGGCACCCACGCATTTAAGCCATCTTCCACTGCTTTCCCAGGCACATAAACAGGGAGCTGGTTTGGAAGTGGAGCAGCTGGGACTCAAACCAGTGCCCCCATGGGATGCTGGCATTGCAGGTGGTGGCTTAACCCACTGTGCCACAGTGCCAGCCCCCCACTGTGCCCTTTGGATGGGACATGCACTCTCCATTTGTCAAGACCTCACACCCACCTTCACCCCAACCCTTTTCCTTATGACTTAAAGTAGCTCTCCTCATTCATCCGTCATCCTGCTATGATTACAAAAGCGTTAGACATAAAGTGTTAGGCATTAGGCCCCTTAGGGCTGGTATTGTGACACAGTGGGTTAAGGCACCACCTGCAGCACCAGCATCCCATGTCATAGTGCCAGTGGAGTCCCGGCTGCTCTACTTTTTTAAAAATATTTATTTTATTTATTTGAAAAGCGGGGTTACAGAAAGGCAGAGGCATAGAAAGAGAGAGGTCTTCCATCTGCTGGTTCACTCCCAATTGGCCGCAATGGCCGAAACTGCACTGATCCGAAGCCAGGAGCCAGGAGCTTTCCCCAGGTGTCCAACATGGGTGCAGGGGCCCAAGGGCTTGGGCCATCTTCTACTGCTTTCCCAGGCCATAGCAGAGAGCCAGATTGGAAGTAGAGCAGCCAGGACTCAAACTGGTGCCCATATGGCATGCCAACACTGCAGGTGGTGGCTTTACCCATTATACTACAGCGCAGGCCCCCTACCCTGGCTGTTCCAATTCTGATCTAGCTCCCTGCTAAGGCACTTGGGAAAGCAATGGAAGCTGGCCCGAGTGCATGGGCCCCTGCCACTCATGTGGAAGATCCTGATGGAGTTCCTAGCTCCTGACTTCAGCCTGGCCCAGCCACTAGACCATCTAGGGGGTGACCCAGTGGATGGACGATCTCTCTCTCTCCTCTCTCTCTCTCTCTCTCTCTCTGTGTCTCTCCCTCCCTGCCTGTCACTCTGCCTTTCAATTCAAATAAATAAATAAATCTGTATAAGAAAGAAAGTGGAGTCCTTAAAATGGAAAGCCACAGGGGCCGCGGCTCTACTTGAGAAAGGCAAACCCGGTAACCTTGAAGCCCGACGCCGACGCAATTGGAGCACCCCCAGCAAAGGCTCGCGCCTGTCTTCCCGGCGCGCGGCGGTCTCAGCACACCCTGTGAAATGCGAGTGAATGCTGGTGTCAGAAGCGCCGACTGA